ATATATATATATATATATATATATATATATATATATATACACATATATATATATATATACACATACATACACACACACATACATACAGACGTACGGACATCATCGTAAAAATAGTCAGGGAAGCTTCCTGTGACCTTCAAACGTCGAGATCTGATGAAAACTCGATTTTTGTAAAACGGGGTGAAAACAATAACTTCCCGATTTTTGAAAATCTGAGATTTTTAGCGGGAAGTTAAAAATTTGAGTCAAAAATTTATTGTCGACCGTCATTTATTTTTTTTTTTTTTTTTTTTAATTTATTTAATTTATATGCCAAGGCAATAAGCCTAATGGCAAATACATAAAAGTAACAGTTTTATTCAATCATGTAAGTAATTATAATCTATATTTAAAACATTAGGAAAATAATTCTATGTTAAGTGAACAGAAAGAGAAATATCGTAATATATAAAAGTATACATAATCTAAACAAGATTATGCAAGGTTAATATAAATTTATACAAAAATTTATACAGATAAATAATAGTATATGTAATATTCAAAATACTAAGAAGTTGCAAACATAATAATAAATTGTCAAGAGCTTGCTTCTTTATTCATAAAAAATTCATATGCTTTATTTTTGAAAATTTGAAGTGACGATGAATTTGTAATTTCTGTTGGTAATTCCTGCCACAGACGAATAGCTGATACCAAAAACGAATGCTCATAAAAGGCGGTAGAAAAATTTGGCATTTTGAATATATTATTGTTTTTTGCTGCAAGTCTGTTTGATCTCCTGATATCAAGATCTTCATCTATGAATAAGAGCCGCAAAAACTTTGGTCCACCAGTTTCCAAGATTTTATACGTCAGACACGCCAGAAGGTATTCTCTTTTCGATTTAACACTAAGCCATTTTAGAGTGTGTCTATAAGGTGTAATATGTTCATCTCTTTTTATATTAAAGATAAATCTTATAGAGTTATTTACTATCCGTTGTAGCTTCTTATCAAGTCGTTTTGATAGGTCTAAGTAAACTATAGAACAATAATCGATAATTGGTAGAAGCATGGTTGTGACTAGTAATTTACGGCAAGGCATGGAAAGTATGTTTTTTCTATATTTTAAGCTATTTATTGTGGCATAAGCTTTGCGTGATAGTTGTGAAATGTGGGCATCCCACGAGAGGTCGTTTGAGATATGCAACCCGAGATGTTTAGCTGCGTTTACATAAGGGATGATATTTCCATCAATTTTAATATCTGGAACGTGGCAGGCTTCAAGTAACTTAAGCTTCCGGTTGCTACCTAGAATCATCACCTTAGTCTTCTTTAAATTTATCTCAAGGCCATTTTCCTTCGCCCAATCTGCAATAGCTTGAGCATCAGCATTAAGACGCGCAGCAGCCTCGTTTAAGTTGAAAAGTTAAAAATGGAGATAGGCCCACATGTCGTCAGCAAAAAGACCGTATTTGCAATATCTTAAGCGCTTTACAATTCCATTTATTGCGATCAAAAAGAGTATCGGACCTAGAATGGATCCTTGTGGAACACCAGAGGAAGTAAATAATGCTTGTGATGAAACATTTGACGGGTCAATGACCTTCTGAGATCTACCTGAGAGGTAAGACTGGAACCAAAGGATAGTTTCAATATAAAAACCAAGTTCAAACATCGTGATTAAAAGCATTTTTGGATTTAAATAATCAAATGCCTTGGTGAAGTCAAATAAAATCAGAAATGTAAAGTCATCATTGTCGATAGCATGCCGAATCTCATCAGTTAATCTCAGTAGAGCAGCTTGTGTACTTTGATTTTTCCGAAACCCAGATTGATAATCATCCAGCAGGTTATTTATTTCCAGGTACAGAACTATTTGATTTGCAATAATACCTTCAAATACCTTTGCTGCATGTGAAAGATTCGCTATCGGCCGCGTGTCAGATAAAGATTTTGGTGGCGTAACTTTATTTAGTGGAATGATGAAAACAGACTTCCATGCTTCTGGAAAGATGCTAGTCTCCAATGAGCGATTGAAAATAGCAGTCATGAACAATGAGATCTGCGCAAGATGATCTCTCAGCCATTTCAAGTCCAATCCATCTGGGCTTTTCCCAGCAGATTTAGAAATAGTAAGATGCAAACTTTTTGTGACATCAACAATGTCGATTTTAGACCAGTGAAACTCGCAGTCTACCTTTTTAATATAATGTAAGAGTAGATCCTGCACGAACTCTCTACTGCAAGATGGATGCTTAGTCAGAGTAGTAGCATAGAAGTTGTTTAATTCATCGGCACTAAAGTGATCCAATGGTGATGACTGCTTTGGTTTTATGAGACCTAGTTGTTTAAGTTTTTTCCATATTGAGGAACCATATGATTCTTCGGCTAGAATATTGGTAAAATACTTGTCACGCTCAGCATTTAATTTAACTTTTAATTCACTCCTAAGTTTTTTGTAGTAGTTTAGAAGACTCTGGTCACCACTCCTACGCGCTTGTTTGTAGATAGCATCTCGATATTTTAGTTTATTCTTTAGTTCCTTGGTTAACCAAGGATTACTTGGACGACTAATCTTTCTCTCCGAGAAAGGTCCATAAATATCTAGATAATTTGATACTACAGTTAAAAAGTAAGAAGTAAGTTCATTTGGATCTAAGCTATCAACATCAATATTATTTACATTTAACTCAATATTTAGAGACTGTGAGAGAGCCAAGTGATCGCAGTTTCTAAAATCACGGTATTTATTTACTTTATTACACTTTTTTGGGTGCTCAAGCTTGTACTCCACAAAAATATAATCATGACCTCCAATGTAGGGCGCTGAGGATTTAGAGTAATTTCTGATTTTGTCTTCATTGTCGACAATAATAACATCCAGCCACGAATCAACTCCATTTGTATGATAAGTTGGACCATGTGGTACACAATATAAAGCAAACTCAGTTATGAACGACTGTAGATGACAAGCTAGACGATCAGTTTTAAGAAAATTACAATTTAAGTCCCCAGTGATGATTATATTATTATAGTGTGGATATAGCTTCCCAAACTCAGTAAGAAAACTATCCAAGAGATAACCTTGAGGCCTTCTGTAGATACCTGCTAATAGAATATGAGACCCTGTATCCATTGACACATCAATTAGTACGAATTCCGGTTGATTTAGGTGATCTGCAACCGAAGTGTACAGAACTCTTGATTTTAATGACTTATGAATAAAGCAAGCCAGGCCACCACCTCTTATGTAGCGTCCAGATTTATCAATAAGTCCTCTGTCTCTACGAATAATAGCATAGTTTTCTAGCGCAATAGAGACATCTGGATTTAGCCAAGTTTCCACAATAGTGATGATATGTGGCTTTATTTCAGCAACTAAGCTATCTAACTGGGCCGTATGAGCGAGGTAGCTATTGATATTGAGAGTTAGTATATTTAAAGCTTGACAATTTGAAGTATGTTTGCACGGTGATTGTTAACTTAATTTGTTTAGATCACTCACAGAATGTATTTCAATTTTTGCTGAGTCATCATTTTCTTTCAAATACACTACGCTTTTATGCACCCAAGCATATTTATATTTAAGTTCCTTTGCTTTTGCTTTTGCAATTTTTAAAAGTTTGTATGTCTCCGGATGCAAAAATTCATTTAGATAAATTTGTCCATCAGTAACATTTGCTATTGTATTAAATATTTCTTTAATTGATAATTTTTTCACACGACGTTTCACATTGACAATATGTATCGGAAATCTTTATTATGTAAGACAGTGCAGGGTAAATAATATCGAAGCGAAGCATGTGAGGGGTGCGATAGATGAGTGGCACGAGCGGTTGGGACATTTAAACGAACGCGACTTAAAACTAATGGCAAAGGACGGACTAGTGCATGGATTAAGTCTGAAAGGCAATGAAAAATTGTTGGACTGTGAAATATGTGCGCGAGAAAAATTATCTAGTACTCCTTTTCCGAAAGGCAGCGATGACCGTACTCGGGATTTATTAGAGATCGTACATACTGATGTGTGTGGGCCAATGAGGCATTCATCAGTATCCGGGAAAAAATATTTTGTGACATTTATAGACGACGTCACGTTGGTGCCAAGTGTATTTTGTGAAAAACAAGAGTGAAATACTCGAGACATTTCAGGAATACAAGGTTGAGGTGGAAAATTTCACGAATAAAAAAATAAAAGCTTTACAGTCCGATAACGGACGTGAATATGTAAATGAAGAATTTGACACATATTTGAGATCATGTGGTATTCAGAGAAGGTTAACAACACCGTATACCCCACAGTAAAACGGTATTGCCGAAAGGATGAATCGCACCTTAGTGGAAATGGCCAGATGTATGATGCGTCAAGCAGGCGTCCCACCAGCTTTTTGGGCAGAAGCTATTAACACAGCTTGCTATGTTCGAAATCGGTGCCTAACTGCAGCGCTGAAGGGACAGCTACCATTTAGCCAATGGAAAGGGAAAACTCCTACCGTCGCATACATCAAAACTTTCGGTTGTAAAGTATTTGTGAAAGATAAAAGAACAAATAAGGGGAAATTTGACTCAAGAGCCGAGGAAGGAATGTTAATGGGCTATGACAAAAACTCAAAAGCCTACAGAGTGCATCTATTGAAGACAAATAAGCTAGTGATAAGTCGTGATGTCAGATTTTTCGATAATCCAGTATACGAAAATGAATATAAAGAAATATATGATGAAAATGAATGCACAGAAAATAATTTTGATGTCGAATTCGAAACTGTCATAACAGGAGAAGACTTGACAGACAGAAAGTTCTGTAAGGCAAACAGAGGAAGAAGATTAATGAGGAGATCTGCAAGTGAACCGATTTCAGAAGCAATATCTGAAAACACACGAATGTTGCGCAAAAGAGGAGCAACTATAACTTGGAATGAAATAATTGACCCCGTCCCCCAAAGAGAGGCCGTGGCAGACCAAGAATAGTACGTACGGTGTCAGTGAGAAGACCACGCAAGCAATATCGTGATGTAGCTCAAGAAATATAGATACAGACACTAGCAGTGAAGAAGATGAGATCGACGTAATGATGTCGGAAGATGACGACGCATTCATTACAAATCTCGCAGGGCAGGACCCAATAACATGGAAAGATGCAATGGAATCTGAAGATGCCGATCAATGGAAATTAGCCCTGGAAGATGAATTTCTAGCACAAATGAAGAATGTCACTTGGGAGATCACCACACCTCCAAAGGAAAGAAAAGTGATCGGGAATCGTCTTATCCTCTGTACGAAAAATACAGGAAGAAAGAAAGCTCGCCTGGTCGCAAAGGGTTGCTCACAACGACCAGGGGAGGATTTCTATGAGACATATTCTCCGGTAATGAGGTCAACGTCGGTGAGATTGTTAGCAGCCATTTCAGCGGAGCTAGGTTTAGAGATGCATCAGATGGACGTTGTTACTGCATATTTAAATGGTAGCCTCGAAGAAGCGGTTTACATGGAAGTCCCTAATCAACTACGTAAAGTATTAATTAAGCTAATAAATAATGATAAAGTAGGATCGAGTGGTAGAGTGTTATTCGCGATAAGAGAATTATTGAAACAGCCGAGCGATGGATAAAAGCCATAGATAAAAATAATAATTCGGTTTGTTTATTAAAGAAAGCGTTGTATGGTTTACGGCAATCAGGTTTAGCATGGCATAAGAGATTAGTAGACGAATTAAAAAGATTAAATTTCGAATTAATACCACAAGAACCGTGTATGTTTATATCGCGCAAGGAAAATAAAATAATGTTAATCGGTATATATGTAGATGATATGATTTTTGCAACTAACGATAACGAATGGTTATGTGAAGTAAAACGAGAGCTAGCAAGGTCATTTGAAATGAAAGATTTGGGGGAAATAAATAATTGCTTAGGTATTGAATTTTCACGCGATAAAGACAAGAGAGTGTGTATGAGTCAAAGGTCGTACATAGAAAAATTATTAGAGCGTTTCCCGTATGAAAATATAATATATGATTATAATATATAAAAAAATATATTGTTGCAATAAATTTATATATGATATAATATATTAGTCATTATATTATTCCATATAGAGATTTCAGCCGATTTTATATATAATTATATAAAATATTAAATATAAGTATCTTATATATGTATATTATAAGTTTATAATATTACATCGTATATGAGATAAAATGTATATTCATATATTTGAAAAACATATAAAGTTTTTATACGAAATAATTTATATTATAGAATATATTTATATCATATATGACATAATATATGATTATAATTATATTTAAACATATATTTTATCAAATATATAGATAAATATATTGAACGTATATACTGCAGCATATATTAAATTATAAATAATTTTATAATTTTAACATATACCAAATAAATAGATTATTAGATTCATATTTAAAAGTAAAGTTCTATTTTCAATTTCGTTTCCAAAAAACTTTTTCAGAAATTTCCATATTATCATCTGTTTACTGTATATAATTTTTGACTTGTAATATTGGTAATGGATCACTCATTATAAATAGTTTTGATTTTAGTTGAAAAATTTAACACCACTCAGATCTATTTTAGATAGAATTTGGCCAGATGATCAAATAACCACAAAATTATTGGATTAATAAAAATTTTTTAAGAATTAAAAATCTTACTGCTTTCAATCTAATTTCTAAAAATTGATGTTTTATTAGACAGAGTATCAGTTGGCAATTCTTACTATTTCAAAGATGGCCTCTGTAGCTTTTGGATGAATATTGAAATCAATATCTTTGATTTGGAATAGATCAGCAGCTTGCGAGTTAAGTTGTTCAGCAAAATACTTACAGTTCAGAAATTGTGGAAAATTTCAGGAATAGGTGGTCAAGTGAACAGCTTGTAAAAGATTGGTCTACAATAAAATTAATCGTGTACTAAAAAAGCTCTAAAGCGCAGTAGGATTATTAAATATTTGACAATAATTTAATTTTTATTTTGTAAGAAGAATAACACAAATTAACATATATTTCTTAAATATAAACAATGATAATATTTCAATAGTAAACATTATTGTTCTGCGTTCATAAGTAGTTCTTGAGGTGCATCTGGTTCGACAGGTACATTGTTTTGACGTCGTAGAGCAGTTATATGATTATTTATCGCCATACCAAAAAGAGATTTCTTAAAAGTCGCTGGGAATTTATTTTTAACAGCTTCTATAATAATTTTTAACAGATTGAAATAGATTATTTTTAGAGAATAAACGAAAAAAATTTGAACATAAAATTAGAACAGAAAGGTGAGAATTCAAAAATGCTCAGTTGTGTCGTAGAATAGTGTTGAAGTGGGTAAGGTATTCACCCGAATATTAGCTATACGAGTTACGTAATACAATGAACTCGAAATGAAGGGAAATGTCAAAATAATAAATTTCTATGCATAATGATTGGCAGATAATGAAAAAAAAACTCAACTAGACAAAAATTCAAAGGTATGTCATGAACAAGTTAAAATAAGTGTTAAAATCACGATCGTAAAATTGACTCATCGAGCAACTAGTTGAGTAAATTATGTTCTGCAAGACTTAGTACAAGGTTCAATTACAATAAAGTTTGTTAACATCATATATTCTTCATATGAGTAATACTTCACCTTGAATAGCAGAAATAATAACTTGATTCAACGCAGGTTTCTGTGGTGAATTTTTATTAATTTTGCTTTTTCCACCTCTTAGATTGCTAGCTAATAACTCTTCTGTTGCAAATAAACAGCTTACTAGAGAAACGCCCATTTTCTCAAAAGTTTCTCTTGAGTCGGCCGTATCCCATTGCGCGCGAGTTACGAATACTTGAGAACCTTGATGCCCGATTTCAACCTATTAAAAATAAAATCAGTAATAGTGATCCAAATATAAAGTACAAAAAAATTTACAGAGTGCTGTACTGTTTATTTTAATGGCGACATTTTTCAGTTCAGATAAATTGTAGCAAGTAAAATTTAGCTAGAAGGCGTCTTTCACCATTTTAAGAGAATTAATAATGAAAACAAATAAGTCTTCAAAAACATATTCCCACGATTAGTGAACAAAGGAAGAAGTATTGAGAATCCAGTTAAATTGCCCACGACTAGTAAACCAAACTTAAAATGATAAAAATCAGAACCCAAGTATTTAGAAGTAGAAAATCTAGAGTAGAATAATAAAAATCCAAGTCCGAGTGCCTACGACTGGGTAACCTGACCAAAAAATTGAGAATCCAGGACCAAATGACCACGACTAGTAAATAAAAATATAATTCAAATTCAAGTATCCACGACTGGTTAAACAGATCAAGAAATTGAGAATCCAGGATCAAGTGCCCACGACTAGTAAATAAAAATTAGGGAAACGGTTGACCCTAAAGGCCATCCCTGCAACTTCCCGCTAATTCCATACTAAAACACTCAAAATTACACTTATTACGTTTTTAAGCTCTTTAAGGAAGTACGAGCACCAAGACAACTTTCGATGAAAAGCTTGATTTTTTTTTAACATGAAGTTTAAATATGTCTAAACAAATTCCGAAAATTTGGTCTTAGGGGGTAATCTCCAAACATTGATACATTTCTGTATTTTTCTCGTAAAACTGTCGGTGAATATTTTTAAAAAACTTATGGGTGAAAGTAAATATATTAGTGATAAATTTAATTCAAAAAAATTAGGATGACGGTTGACCCTAAAGGCCATCCCTGCAACTTCCTGCTCATTTTATACTTAAACGCTTCAAACTATACATTACGTTTTTGAACTCTTCGAGCTCAAAAATATTATTTTTGTGTCAATTTGAGCTCTTCGAGCTCAAAACTCTAATAGCAGTTTAAAGACACAATTTTTTGAATTTTCAAACGACAATAACTTTTGAATGAATGAACCGATTTTCACGCGGTTGGCGGCAATCGACGCAGTTTTTTAAGCCTCATAAAGGATCATTAAGTTTGAATCTATCAAACAAGGAATTTCGAAGTAATTCCGAAAAAAACACTTTTTTCGATTTTCTTTCGACAACGATCACTCACGAACGAATCAACCGATGTCGATGGCGATCGACATGATTTTTTGATATTGAGAGCTGATTAGTTTTTAGAATCGATTGGTAATGCCGTTTCAAAGTTATTACAAAAAAACCACATTTCAAAAAATTTTTTTCGTAGTTTTTTTGAAATTTCTCAAAATCTGCTGGTCCGAACCGGTCTAGATTATGTTCAGAATCTAAGTTTGGCCAAGCCCTTTCGAATGACGCCAACCGCGATGAAATCGGCCTAACCGTTCAAAAGTTATAGGAGGTTCACACACACACACACACACACACACACACACACACACACACACACACACACACACACACACACACACACACACACACACACACACACACACACACACAGAAAAGCGGGTCCAATTTACAGACAGAGCGCTCTGAGAGTTGCCAGTGCCTTCCGCACAATATCAGAAGAAGCAGTGTGCGTCATTGCTGGAACCCTGCCGCTTAGAGTACTAGCAGAGGAAAGACGGGCCCTTTACCAACGAAAAAGGTCAACTGCACTGAGCCCTGAAGAACTTAGAACAGAAGAACGGCAGCACAGCATCTCGCGATAGCAACTTGAGTGGGACGCCGCAGCAAAAGAAAGATGGACATACCGCCTCATACCAAAGATCGATGTTTGGCTAAGCCGAAACCATAACGAAGTCAACTATTACCTAACGCAGATGTT